TTGAAGAAGGACAATTGCAACATTTAGACCTTAAATATTCATAATACCATAGTATAATTCTTCTTACGACTTGTTTCTCAATTTTAAGCCAGCCTTTACACGATTCACTCCAAAAGTATATTTAAAACCAACGCAGGCGTTCTTAAATATATCATCCGTTATTCTTTTGCTCTGAATACGAACATAGTGAATGCAGGACAACTACATTGTTAGCATTAAATGACTTCCTCACTTTTCGAAATTCTTCTAATGCTTTCTCAAATTCCTCTCAGCTGAAGTAACGCCTTCCAAGCATTGCTTCACCAAAAATTCCACTAACGTCTGCACTGCTTTCCGTCGCATTGACTACCTGCAATGAACTTCTAAAAAGGCTTTGTCAATTAGCATCCATCTATGTCACAACTATCTCAAGATAATTCAGTAAAGAAAGCAATATTGAAATACATGACTGATCAATATCCATCAAGATATACCGCACGTAAAAAATAAATTCTAGAAAAGCACAAAAACCCACGGGTTCGTTGACATCGCAGGCAACCGACAGGCCAAACAACGGAGTGTATGACAAACCAAGCCTTGTACATGCACAAAAAAAGAGAAAACACGTTTTATAAGTCAAAGTTTACATTTACATTCATCACATCTGCTGACAAACAATGCATGACGCAAGCACACAAGGCTGCACACGACATCACCTACCAAACAAAATCAAATATCAAACTGACCGCCACTGTTCCAGCCAATGAAAGACGAGAAAACCTGAGGCGCGGAAAATTTAACACATCATATCGTATATCCTCACCCCACAGCGGGCCAGGGTAGCAGTATTAACCTAACCTGTGTCCCTTGGACGCAGAGCTCTGCTTCATTTAAGCGAAACGCGCTGGCCTCCATTTTAGTGTTCGGTATATGGAAGCCTTTATTCGATGCTTGGCAGGTAATAAACAAAGACTCTTCACTACTTGATGTGTGGCGTTTTTGGACGAGGTGATGTAATACAGAACTGTTGACGGCTTTACATATACCTTTATTTCGCCGCATTGGTGAGCGCTTCCGAGCATGAGAAATTAAGTCCCTAGGTAAACGGCTCATATAAATGGCTCCACAGGAGCAGCTGAATTGAAAGCTACGATAAGACGTGGCTAGCCTAGTTACCTCATCTTTCACTTTCAGAATCGCAACGAGTTTGGAAAATATAAGTTGTGGCTTACGGGTACCAAACGTTCTTTGAATCTATCTTCTCAACCTGTTGATTATGATTTTGTTTAGCACATCACCTCTGAATTGAATTCGTGGATATAGAGGCTGCTTTTTAGCAGATACAGAAAAATTCTTTTCTACTCACTTGGCTATGTGCTTCATGACGAAATTCCTAGGCTAGCTGTTTTCATTTAACGTGTTGACTACAATTTTAAGTCCATCTCTTCCTTAAGCATTTCTATTAAGATCCCAATATTTACCGACTTGTTATTTGTATCTCCACATGTGCAATGAACCATTTCATTCGGAGTTGCATTACTGAATTGAGATGTTGCAACCGAATACATAAAGGTTTCATCTCTTTTATTGATATTGATTCTATGTACAAATTCAAACATATTTTTCATACAACGTTTCGCTAATTGTTGGTAGTAAGAAAATTTTTTTCCTATCTATACAGCAACAAATCACTTGTACAGCCTTGGAATTTAAATTACATAAATTTGGTTTATGGTGAATTCTTTTATCCGCTGTTCTTTTTTACTCTAGTTTGTGAGGACAATCTGCTAACTAGTCAGCCAATGTAGCACATTAAGAAGTATAGAAATATTGCCTTCGCATTAACAGAAAAACCTAGGTCTGTGTGGAATGGATCACAAATACCTGGGGAAAAATTTGAAGTTAATCCTCCCAGTAACCTTGCTGCTTGCGGTATCGAATCTTATTCTTGCATTATGGTCAGATGAGACAGTAATATATTTGTATAATCTCGGTGGTGTCATCGTAGGGTAACATCAGAAGTTAATTCTGTTCCGTGCAGACGAATACTGGCGATAGCCAGGCAGATTTATTTTGCTTTACCAGAGTGAGCCATTACCGTAAATTATGGCTGCATGGTGTTCTGACGCACAAGCTGATTAAGATGTGGGAAGCTATTTGTAAACTAGTTGCGCCTTCATTTTAGGTCATGGACACCGCTCGTTAAGGATGTTATTTGTTGTGCACATATAGCGACGCGGGAGTTTTCGAGGATGTAGAGTTATTACGAGACAACAGCTCGAAGGCTGATGGGGTACATATAAGTGGCTTCAAGTCCTGTTCAACTTCAGCCCCCTTGCAGGTCTGTGCAACTTCCACTACAAGGCATATAGAGGAGAAAAGGCGAGCAGCAGAGAGTAAAGAAAATGTGTGTGGACACGGATAGAACTTTAATGTCTGTAGATAAATATATATATTTATATCCATTATACACTGCCATCTAACGAAAGTACACATTGATGTTCCCCTAGTCCTTTTATACACCTGTGCGAATATTCTGTTTATCAATTATGCTAAGTAATTAGTAAAGTTGTACACGTTCTATGGACACTTAACTTAGCCGTTTTCGGAATATCTTCTGGTGCCATCGGGATTTGGTTTTTACGCTTTAACCGAGTCGATTTTAGAGAATATAGATGCGCCAGATAACGTTGCCGTCAAGTCGTGTATGTGAGGCAATGGATAGCAATCAGGAGTTGTTTTGGCGTTCGCTCGCCGGTAATCACCAGTAGGTCTCCAATCGTTGCCATCCTTTTTCGGTACCATATGCAGTGGGAATGCCCATGGGCTATTCGATGGCCGAATGATGCCAAGGGTGAGCATATGATCCAATTCATTTCTAGCAATTCTCGGTTTGTCAGGAGCCAGTCGTCGTGTTTTAGATGTCACGAACTGTCCTGAGGTTATGATGTGGTGCATAACGTTACTGTTTATGCACGGAAGATCGTTAAACGGGCAGTTACGTTCCAGGTTCTTATCAACAATTGGTTGGAAAGTTGGATCAAGGATTGACTTCATCTTGACGAGTGACAAGCTGGGGCCTCTGTGGGTGATGCCTTTTATAGAAAGACTAGTAGTATTGTCAATCAGTCGTTTTCGGCGGACGTCTACGAGTAAATCATGATGATTAAGTAGGTCCGTGCTAATGATGGTCATTGTGACGCCAGCGATATGGAAAATCCACTGAATAGGTTTGCGTAAACCTACGTTCAGATAGACGTATTACCTACTAAAAGTTGCAATTGGTTTTCCATTTGCAGCCTGTAAGTTGAAGGTAGGTTACTTCTGCCGACCTGCTGCTGTAGCAGGAAGGACGCTGACTTCGGTGCCTTTGTCAACTAAATATCGAGTGTGGCTGATCACACCACGGATGTAAAGTAAGCAGCCAGTGCCACCGGCGACGGTTGCCGCTAACGCGTGCCGGCGAGATAGTTTCTCACAGACTTTGAGACATTGCCAAAATTACAAGGTTTACGGCAACATTTCGATTCCTGGCCATAGGTGTTGTGATACCAGCACCAGTCAGGGTTTTTCAGTTAACGTGGCTTGGACTTAGAGCGATCACGTGCGTTTTATCGCTGAGGGGATTTAGGACGACGGTAGGAAGAATTCCTAGACATGTTTGACCTAAGCATCTGCTGGATGGAGTTGCATAACTCTATCATTGTAGTATCCTTACTCGAAGTCTGTTTGGCCACCGAGAATATTTCAGGAACTGACCGTTTAGTTATTCCCAGAATTTTGTCTGCAGAAATAGCTAAGTCATCCATAAGAACACCCTGAAGTGTCAACAGCACAGTCAGTACTGACTGTGGCAGTTTGGATAAAAAGAGTTCTCTGAACAGTCCTTCATCGAACTGCCTTTGGCCAATAACCTCTCTCATTCTTGTCAGCATACTCAGGGATGACTGATCCCCTGTAAAGACAGAAGGCAAGGGTCAGGCAACAGATCGTTTATTAAGGAAAATCAACACATATTTATAGATTTTAATGTACTTTATTGCAGATTATTGTTAGTAGAAAATACAGTCTTTTGACTGGTTGTTTCTCACAGAAAGTTAACTTTGCATCTCTTTGTGGCTGTGTCAGATCATCTATGTGCTAACTGTATCCGCCTACGTAAAGTCTGCTGTTCATCTTTGATATTGTTTTCACATGACTAATATTTGAGACAAACATTGACGTCAATTACTGTCTTCCAATTTGGCTAGAAGCCGTCTCTCACCACACCCCGAACCCGATGTTATGAAATAATTCATCCAGAGGCTGCCGATCTGCGAGAACGTTTCTCCTGAGGAGGAATGCTTTGAGCAACTCGTACGAGTTACTTATCTCTGGACTCGAATCTGCAGTTACGCACTTGCTGAATTCTCGCGGTAGGGCGTGAATAACTGCTAGGAACTGTGAATGTTGATCTTTATCCCATGCTCACAAAAATCAGACTTAGCTATCTGAAACCATGTTTCAGCATTATCTGGCCAATATGGTTCGAACTGAATAGTATACTAACGCAAGATCTTATACCAACGACTTCTATAGTATTCGCTCCTCGTGTACCCAAGACAAAGCAAAAGACAAAATTAATCGTCCAAAGTACGTGTTATATTTCGGGACTAAGTAGTAAACCGTATTGAGTGCTTAACTAGCTAGTGATCGTGCACGCACGTGACACGACAGAGTACCAAATGACATGGATGCTTGACCGGAAGCCTTCAGCTAAACAAGTCGACTTAAACAGTGAGGGTCAACATCCGATGTTCAGTGATGATTGCTGTGGTCAATAATTTTGGGGAATTATTTACCGCTACAATAACAACAAAGAATAATTCTCTTTAGTTGATTCAGAATATTGATTAGGAGGTATTATTGAGTCACCTCAATTGAAAATACTGTTTTCAGTTTGCTTCTTTATTATTGTGTGTATTTTTCCAGCATATAACCAGCTTCTTGAGTAGAATAAAAGTCCTTTTCACATTGGCCACCCCAAGGTCATTGCTGCGTTCACACCCCATGGTCTCTATTCTCTCTGTTTGACCTTTTGTTAAGTATTACTGGTCCTGATACTACCGGGATTAGTAAAAAGCAGATCCATGAGGTAAAATTTTTCTGTGAGATGACATAATTTCTACAACTGCAAAAAGTAACCATAAGGAGACTTTGGTTACAACTGCTGCATTTCTCAGGGTCGGTTTTAGGTTCAGCGCGCGTCTCTAATTTGGTGGGACAGTTAACGGAAACTCATGGCCTATCCGTCAGATAATCAACTGTTGGCTAGAATAGAAGGTAAGTAATTAGTACTATTTGACTTAAGTGTAATATAAGAAATTCTAAATGGGGCGGATCTGTCCCAGGTTACATCAAAAAAGGTCAGGTTGGAACTAGAAGCTCATTTCAATATTGATTTATCCTCTGAAAAACCCAAGTTAGAGACTATGATTCTATCGACACTTGAGAAACTGCAGTCTTCCAAAACTCAAAGTAAGAATGGTGGTAGACAGAGTACTACTCCTGTAAGTACTGCTGTCTAAATTTTGAGTCATTTGTTAAACAGGAAAGAGATGAATCTACGGATTCTGATACAAGTTCCGGAAGCGAAATTGTAGAACCTGTAAGAAAGAAGAAGAAGAAAAGAGCATCAGATGATGAGGATTATGCCCGGAGTTTGCACGCGGAAGCTAATGGTATGAGAAGAAGGAAAAGCACTTCGAGTAAGAGAAAAAAATTCTCATGTTTGTAGACGTCAAACAAAGGTCCCAAAAAGAAAGCGGTCGCAAGTCGACAGGTTTCACGCGTCCTTTACGGCTATCTGATGAGTTGGCTGCGTATATTGGTGAGAAGGAGCTTTCTCGTTCAGATCTAGTGAAGAGATTTTGGGCAATTGCAAAGGAGCAGAACTTATTTGTAAGATTCATATTTTCGTTAATAACTTGAGTAGGATCCGAAAAATAAACAGTTTGTTGTTTGTAATGAAGATTGGCAGAGACTATTCAACCAGAAACGTTTCCGCATGTTTGGAATTACGAAGCATTTGAATAAGCATATAGTTGAGTAGTCTAAAAATTCCATTATTAGAGAAATTTGTCATTTTCCTTCACCATGTAAATGTGTTCATATTCCGCTTTTTACCCACTCCACTTCAAATAAATTTGTTCTTTAATATTCTAGATGAATTACCACATTGCTTTGGTGGATTTCCGTTTCTTTCTGACTAATTTTTACTTTAACGTATTCTAACATTTCCTTAGTTGAAACAAGTTATCATGTTGTACTATCATGCGACCAGTAGGTAGTGAGACGTAGAAAGAGTCAAAAGATGTGAAATGGTGAGGTTTTGACCAGTATGCGTTCCTCTTTTAATTGTGTTAAGGGACCAACAAGGTAATAGTTGTGGCGTAGTGTTAGGTGAGAAAGGAAGGCCAATCTCAGACCTTTATTTACGGAGTTTTCTTGAACTCGTGCTCTGATTTTAACGTATTTAAGCTAGAGTAGACTTGTCTACTAGCTGGATATTAATTATTTGAAATATAGTTACAATCACATTTTATATTTCCAGTAATATAAGGGACTGGACTAATTACTTAAAAATACTGATGTGACTGAAGTCAGTCGACATGGGTACATAGATCTGCACATTGATAAAGTTGCTTTCAGGTGTATGAATGACCAGCTAACTTAGCACACTATATTGCATAATCCCTCATATCACAGGTAGTTTTCAGTTGCTTGCTGCCTAAATGAGTCCTGATTATTGACAGGTACCTCAGCCGAATAGGAGAACTTTACATTGTTGTGAATTTTAAATTTTGCAATAAATACGGTAAAATTTCAATTCTTTTTACTTTTGTCCCATCATAAATATTATGGTGGGCTGAAATTTTCCAATATTTCCATTAGTGATGACCCCATGATCCAGCTATAGACCCATGAGATCATTGCACATATCCAGTCACGTCTTATTAATTTCTACAAGTTTTCCCTTTCTCAATATATTCGAAAGACAGTTTGACAGCTAGACACTATCTATGAATTTTACTGGCGTAATGATACTGAGTGAAACGATCAGTTCAACTTTGGCAGTTGAAGCAAGGCCTGAAAAAGAGAAGGTAGTTTATGAAGACATGGTGTCAGAATAATTATATATTCACCGGCTCATTATGCTTAATTGGTTGCAGCGTTTCCTGATTATTAATATTCCGCGAAGAAATTGATTGTTTTACTTTATTTCGAATGATTTCGATTAACATTTCTGACACACTGATCTTTACGAGGCTTATTTCGCCTTATCATGCAGACTGGTTAAGAGGAACTATCAATTAACTATAAGCGTACTACTCACCGATAAACTGAGGTATTATCCTCTATGTGTGTTTTATCTATGGTCAGTTATTTCTAGAAGAGATTTGTAAAAATTGTGAACGGTAGACATAGTATGTGTGTATCTGTTAGTAAATAACCACGTACATTGAGTAACAAATTACAGACCAAAATACTTCCGGTTAGATGATCCGAACTGATAATACTTCAACTTTATTCCTATTCTGTCATGTTTTGAAATATACATTCTCATCTGTACAAGGTTCTATCACAGCTTACCTTCTTAGCACCTTAGTTAGACTCCCCGCATAGCAGGAGACCGTTTACATGGGTGAGAAAGCGCAAAAGTGATCAGTAAATCCTAATTAGTGTATATGTGGGACCTGGGCATTGTGGTAGTAGGCGATTTCGTATTAGTTTCTTGATTTGACATATCACACAGTGAAACAGTATTATTTACTGGGTGACGTTTCCAACATTATTTTTCACAATCATATGAATGATAACTGCATAACTTCGAAACATCAGTTTCATAGTTTTCCTTATCCCTTCCCATTCGTCTTAGGACTAGTAAAATTTGGAATTATTGTAGGATATTAGATAAACTAAGTTACTTTGTTTAATGGTTTCCACAGGATCCTTTAATAGACATAGTTTGTTTGTTTTGTGGGTTTGAATGCTACTTTAATCCTGCATTGTTGAGAATTCTACTAGAAACAAGCAGCAAAGGTTAATAAAGCATTATTATTATAACTATTAATATTACTCAGTTCGCGATTCTTGATATATTTAAGTTATTTCTCTAATAACTAATTGTTTATCTAGGTGATGTAATTAAAACGTAATGCATCTTATCTTAATTTTAATCTCATACTCCCTTCCTCTTATCAATTTGAAAATGACCTGAAAAACATTCACAAGTGTCGTTTTACATGATTGATTCAATGTAGATTATGAACAAAATAATTGAGCAAAGAATGTCCTTTTTGATCATTTCCTCTTCTGGCTCTACAATTATGTATATGTAGCGCTATTCTATCTCATCTTGTGGGTACAGAACACGAGGCTTTCAAAGTCATTTACGCATACCAATAAATTTTAACATCACCTTAAGAGTTCGCCTCCTACAAAATATTGCTGAGGCCGTTGGGATCTACATTAAGAAGCCTAATTTATGTGTCCAAAAGAAGCCGGTTCAGACATTGTCCTTACCTTAGCCATCTAGGTTCGAATGATCCTCAATTTTTTGTAGAAATTTCATTAATTTTAGTTGATATTCTATTTGCTATTATATTTTTCTTATTACTATTATTATTATAATTTAAGCATCTTTAATGAACTGTAATTCCATTGGTCTTACTTTACAAATCGATATTATTTAAAAAATACTAATTTTGTTATTGACTACTATTCCAGAATATTCTATGTATATAAACATATATATATATATAATTGTAGAGCCAGAAGAGGAATTTATCGAAAAGAATATTCTTTGCTCAATCATTTTGTGTTTTATGGATGTCTGAATGAATATTTTTGCTACATCAATGTAGTTTATACGCTTACCAATTTTTTATCTCCCAATGTATTTCCAATAATATATACATATATCCCTGTACGTAGAGTATTCAGCTGAAGAGTTCTACCGAAATTTGATAAATTCATTAAATCCTACTTTTTAAACCTTTGTTGTTTGTTTTAAATTCCTATCGGGAAATAAATGTTTCCAATTCTACTTGAGGTTTCTGAAACTACTTCTTTATATGGAAGTATTGCTAATTATTTAAATTCCTTATGTTTGTTGTCATTATTCTTTGTATGTTCGTCATGTATATTGTCATAATTATTGTTAGTATCCTGATTAGTTTATCAGGGTAATTATTGAGCTTTGAAGCTCCTCTTATATTTTTTTTTCCGCCTTATTACTGAAACACTTCACTAATCCTATTTTTAGGGCGGGATAAAACGAAATCTAAATATCGGTTTGAATGTGTGAGTTTCCCGCATATACTAGTGTTTAACTTCCCACCCGCTTCTCCTTTTTCGCTACAATTTAATATTAGACGCTCCCCTTCCGAACTCCCCAATTCATAAGTGATTTGAATTACAACTTCCTTTGAGTTGATGTGGTCCGAAAATCTGTTTATATCTTGTAGTTTCAGTACGGTGAATGTGTCATCTACATATTTCCACCATACTTTGGGTGTGCAGCTGAAAGTTTCAATTACTAAGATTTCCCACATATCCATGAATATATCTGCCACTATTGGGAGGTATTGGCGATCCCATGGCAACTCCCTCTGTTTGTCTGTATATTTTCCCTTTGAATTTAAAAATATTGTAGAAATTAGGTATAGCTCCACTCCTAACATGATGCCTCCTAGCGGCATTTAAGTTCAAGTTCGAACTCGTTTCTGACCGCTTCTATAGCAACCTGTTACCGGTTTTCGCGTATATAAACTGACGATGTCGAAACTAACCATTTTTTCGTCACTATCTAATCTTAAATTATCTAATCTATGTTTTAGTGCATAGGAATTTGTGAGTGTAGATCTTGAGTGACTTCTAAATGGATTTAATACCTTAGTTAAATATTTAGACAGTTCATAAGGAGAATTTCTAAAATCAACTATAGATCAGATGGAATTTCCTGACCAGTGACTTTAACAACACCATACGTCCTACTGGAATTATTCGTTTTCGGCATCAAATTAAACCATTCAGACTCACATAAAAACGGCTTCACTTAGCGAAAGGACATTTTAAGGCTTTGCATCCATGCCTTAAACAGTAGCACGACTCTATTCTTATCTATCCAGTCAACCTTTCGGATAGGACCTAAAGTACTACTAATGCCAGCCAGCATCGCTTATTGTGTCATTGCGACATGCAGACCTAATCACGACAACAGGTCACTGCTATCGGATAGGTCTACTCAACCTAAATCATATTATCTTGGTCTATTTTCTTGTTAACAGAAATGAATCAAACACCTAGAGAACTTGTTGTTCATAATCCACGCAACACAGTATGTTGTTGGTTCATTGTTTCTTCGCTGTTTCATTTTTAAACCAACTACCCCTCCAAAAAATTATCCTAGACAGCAGTTTCTGTAAGATGATAACGTATCTAAAAAGGCCTCAATTGTTGACACATGAATACCTAGTGACAACCGACTATCGTACAGCATGTAACACGAATAATGAATAGATTTATGTGGCGGAATGAAATGACAGAAATGAACATGTTATGTCGACTTTTATGTGTGGAAATGAATTATGTATTATGCTGTGGTGTAACGAATCTGTCTGTTGCATCATGAGATCGCATTATAAATTACTGTGAAAATCTATTTATACTGCTGTCTTTAAACCACAAAACTAGGTTAGACTTACTGCATCTTATGGAATAACATGTCAGTTCCAAGGTTAGGAAGTCACGAACATCAAAAGTGTCTTATTTTGAAGCTTGTATGATTGAATGTGGGAAATATTTTATTCTCTGAGAAATAATAGCCAGAACTTTTGTTAGAAATTTTGAAAGCTGTCAGATATGGGGTACAAACACAAGGTGATCTTTATTGGTCAGGTTGATGTGAGAACAGATTGACAATTAAGCCAAAAACTTCTTCAATACAGAGAAAAAGTCTAATATAATATTGACCAGTTGTGTAGTCGATAATTTGTGTTTTAGTAGCAAGATAAGCGGGATAAAAAAGTTACAGTCTTGCCATAAAATATGGAAAATTACCTGGTGATCTGGTAAATTCTCAGAAGAAAGTGCATTGGAGAAAAGAACAGAAATCTCATTCAGCTATAAATACTAGAGGATAATGTTCGAAGGTGATGAATGAGACAGTTTATGAATACTCAAAAACATGTTCCCTTGATCATCTTCATCAAAGCAAGAACAACAAATTTCGCAGTAAAAAATGTGCACATTTCATTTCGAGGTTTCTCTGCAACTGCAGACAGCCTAAAATATACATAGTATAAGCAAAATAAGAACATACATTTTCTTAAATTCTATTAGTAGAAGTTTGTCATGGAGATCGCAGTGTAGGGAGATAACAATAGGTGAACTTCAGTCAGTCACAAATAACAAAAAAAAAGAAAGTGGTTATTTATCATAAGTTTGGGGGAATATTAGAGAAGTTTTGTTATTTAACTTAGTGACATAAAAACACTAGTGGACCAGTAAAATACAGGTAGAAAAGGACTACGCAATACTTGACGAGTAAGCATTTGGAGGTGATTCGAAATCAGTTATGTGAGTTAAGATCAATGGATTAGAAAAAAACCATAGTAACAGTAATAATGAGGACAATTAAAGGAAACAGAATACATAATTATGTAATAAGTGGAAAAAACTTATTGTCAGGGTAATCACTGTTTCTTTCTGCATACACAGAATAAGTTTGAGCTGCTTGATGGCAATAGATTCAGCTAATCGAAGTAAAGTTGAGTTACTTTGTTAGTTGATAATGGTAAAAGAAGTTTGAATATCAACTGTGTCCTGATTTGATTAGATGTCAACCAATGGCGCTGGTTAAGAAATACGGATCTTTAAGTTTCAGGTCTTTTAAAGATTTGTTTGGAGAGGCGAATGGATATCCACCTTTCTATCCTCCCAACGTACTTCCTCTAGCAGATACATGTGAATTCGTAAACACAATTGGAGGTGATTTCAGATAGGCACCAATCCACTTTCGATAGCACGACTAGTTCTGTAAACACAGCAAAAAGTTTAGTTACCGGATAAGTTGTAGTAAGGGAAACTCTTAGTCGCTTGTTTATAAGGTGTGGTATGTTATATTTAAAGGTAAGCTGGATGAGTATAGGATTCTTCTTAACTGTAAGAGCTCTCTTTTCATTACTGTAATCCTTCAAAGGAAATTTTATGAATTTATTTGAAAACCCTTTTTCAGACAATTGCTTTTCAAGGAAGTCCAATACTTGACTGCAAAGTTTACAGTCTCTGTCAAACAGCGTTCTGACCAGTTCTTGTTTGTATTTTATTGGTACAGAAACTAAAACAGTTTAAATACTGTCCTGCCCAGGTATTCTTGGGTTACATTCTCTCGACTATGCCATCACTTTGTCTTCCCACAGAAAGATCCAGAAAGTGAAATTGCTTTTCACGTTCATGTTCCATTGTGAAATTTATGTTTCAATGAACATCATTGAAGCTATGAAACAATCTGCGAGTGTGGTCGATCTTCTCACAGATCACGAACGACTCATCCACATACCTTGTATGAAAACTAGTTCCTTCAAGTTTGGGTTTGATTCATTTCTAGATTACCAATGAATACATCAAGAATAGATCTCAAAGGAATTCCCATGTCTACTCGATCATTCTGTCGACAAAGTCCGTTATTGATATGGAATTGTACTTCTTGTGTACACATCGATACCAATTTTCTCATGTTCTCACTTGGTAAGGGAAGCGATTTAGATTGTTTGCAAATAATCTCAATTGTCTCTCCAAGTGGGACATTGGTCAACAAGGAGGATATGTTAAAAGACACCAAGAGATTATTGGCAATGTCCAGACCACTCAATTTCTCAACGAATTCAAAAGTATCCTTAAGTCTATGCACATTTAATCTGTTCTAGTGCCTCTGTTAGACAACAAGCTAGTTTATGGCACTGTGAGTTTATCATCGACAGTATTAGTCTTGTGGCGATATTAGTTGTGTGCAGTTTTGGCAAACCAGACATAGAAAGTAACTGTGATCCTTTTGTTCGTAGATCATTTAAGTTCCATTTTCAATCAGCCCTTTCTTCAACAGACCACGCGTTTTCCTGTGGCCAGAGTCTTGTCTTTCTTCGATAAGTCAGATACAAACATTGATGAATCATTCAGTATGATATAAGCATCTTGTTTAAGTAATCCCTTTTCTCTATAATAAAGACTCCAGATCTTCTATCAGGTCTTATAATAAATATATTATCGTTTTTCTGCAGAGACTTTAGTGCTTTTCTGTGTTATACACAGGGGATATTGGATTGGGCTTTGGGAGAAATAAGATACTAGTTGGCTATGTCAACCAACTTGAACTTTGACAAACTGCTTCTGTTACTGTCGACTGGTTTCAATTTAGACAGCTGGTGATACAGGTATTGGAATTAGGCTTCTGTGTCGATTCGACTAACGCTTGTGTGGGACATGGAATTTGAGCCCAAGAGACAGGGTTTCAATTTGTAGTATATTCAACTAAATATCGGACAGATTGCATATGTATCGTTAAGTATTACCAGGGAAACCTTGATTCAACCGTCCTCCTAATAAAGACTTTCGGGGAGTTTTCTCAAACTTTTGGTTGGGATATCTTGGGTGAAATTGTTGGACTTTATTCTGTACATAATATTCAAGTTGCCGGTCAATCTGTCCAATTTGGTAATATCTGATTTTAAGGATAAGATGAACTTGTTTGTCGATTCCCTATCAGACTGTCGCACTTCGAAGGTCCTTACGATTCCGTCGAAGCTTACTTGATCGAAGAAATCCACAACAATAGGCGAGGAAAGCAATCTTTATAGGACTTGAGCCCGGATAATTCACGTGCTATTCTGTGAAGTAAGGTCGCCAACTGGTTCAGCGACTTGATGGATTCAGAAAAGAGATGATTCATCAGGAAACTCATACATCCCCTTGGTCATCTTCGTCAAAGCAAGAAGAACACACTTCGTAGTATAAAATGTGCACATTTTGTTTCTGGGCTTGCCTTCAACTGCAGATAGCCTAAAATAAACATAGTTTTAACAAAAGTAGAACATACCCTTTTTATTCTACTAGGAGACGTTTGACGTGAAGTCAGAGGTGTAGTTTCTTCGGCAGTATATGAATTGAAAGTATGCTGCTTCCAGGTTTACAAGTTTTGCCTTACACAATATCTACAGATAGATCGCTTTGGGAGATCAGACTATGTTTTGATACGTGTCACACATGCTTGCAGTAATTTTAATAGATCGAACTAAAGTGCAGTGGCTAGGCACTACAACAGTATTGTACATGACATTATTGCATGCAGGAAACTTTCTGATGAGGGTACTATAAATTATTTAAAATAATCCCAGCCTGTTTGAGAAAAAATCAAGACGAGATTTTTCTGAACGTTTCCTTGTGTTAGCCACAGCTTCTCCAGCAGAATTATTCGGATTTTGTTAACCAGCAAAATATACAGACAAAAGTTACATTAATTGAAGTGAGTTCCTTTGGAGGTCGCTGGTCGGTAGACATTTTTACCAATAGGAAAATCTAAACAGTCATCACATTTTTTTAATGACCAATGTCAAATTGTCATATATGCGTATTTGTCTGTATGTTGTTTCTTTATGTGAAAAACACGTCATAATATAGGATTGGCTTTTTTCCCTCGTCTGTTTTGTTGGATTAGTTTGCCATATATATGATATGTCTATCCCTTCTCTTCTATTTACTGTATTCGATGTGGTTAAAATATGCAAGGCTTCAGAGGTCAACCTTTCTTCATGTGAATGAAAACCTTTTCCTAGAATTTCCATATTGTTGAAATCAATTGTATTTCTGCTATCTATAGCATGCATTGGTATAGCTGATCTTTTTTCTAGACTTTTTAATTCTACTTCATTTCTAGATGAAGATTTCGTGCACAGTCTATGTTAATTCACTCTGACCCTCACCTGTCTACTGCTCTCCCTTATATAGCAAGCTTCATATTCCGAACACAGTTGTTTTATGTCATTTTGGGAATACAATCTTTGACATTCAGCAAAGCTTTCTCTGGAAAATTAGAGGGTTTGAAATAGACTTTAATACTATATGAGGCAAGTATTCTTTGAAGTTGTTCGGCTGTCTCCTTTCGATATGGAATGGCTATCGTACTGGCTATTATGCATACTGTTGCACTGTTTAACAAATGTTGCCACACATGGAGATATTTTACAGATGTACTTGTCTGACTGTGTTGTTCACAGTATGATGAAAACTTTGAAAAAACACAAAACTTCAATTTTTTTCATCACATACAAGTCATTATAATTCAAATTCTTATTTGTTTTCGAGCCAATTCTGATTTTCCTGTTGATTGATTCAAACCAAAGTATCCGGCTTCTACTAACAAAGGAAGGTTCGTGGCCCAAGTCGTCTAGTAGATAACGCTTTGGCGTTTCAAACAATAAATACTGGGTTCTAGTCTCAGTGAGAGCACCATACATTCCGACGAATAGGCTACACACACAGCCGAAACGATAAGTGCCTATCGACTTTATTTTTCTTCTTCCTATCTGTCATTTTTTTACTTTTATGATCAGTTTCCATACCTCGTCTGTCGCCTCCTCTTATCCTTTAAATTTGCTGCTAAATTTCATATGAATTCTTAAAAAAAGTGAACTTAGTTTATAGTTTCCTATATTGATCACTTTCTCAAAATTTTGCAATATATTTCTTACCTGTGTGTGTGTGTGTGTAAAGCATACTTCCAAAGTCATGGTTTAAAAGTTTACAAACTCAATTTAGTTATGGTTTAGCTAAACTCTAGTTGAATTTCGTTCTATGACACCACATAAGCTTTTCTATTATGATTAATAAAAAATAATTATTATTCAAAGTCTTAATACCAAATAACAACTAGTTATGTAAGTAATAAAGGCTCTTTTTTATTAGAAATCTGTTCAATTAAAATAAAAACAGGCGAATATTTGAAAATATCTGTGAAATGATATAAAGCAAGAAAATGTTATAAATGCAAATGTATGCAAGAAAATAAGTATGTTATCTTTAGTAGTTTTGAAGGTAGAAAAATAAAAAAAATGTTTAATTATTCAACTGAATTTTCAGGATATCGTGCTACAAAAGTAGGAACTGAGAATTTCCGTGAACATCCTTTATAGTTCATATATCGTATTTTGCCAAATATAGGTCGTTCAGCCCATCCTTGATCATGAATTCCACATATTGCCCACATAATACCTGTTTAGTACGAGAAATCAGACAAAAAAGCTCTATAAGCATTGTTAATATATACTATTGTTACACAAACAAGTTTTATAAGGGCATACCTGTCAATACAGATATATATATATATATATATATGCATAAGTGAACGCTTATGAAAATAAGCCATTAACGCGTACGAAATATTAGTGAGTAAAATATTAAATCGAACGAACCAACATATCCATTCGGATCTGTTCCATCTAAACTGTAACGATCATTCAAGTAAACTGCTATCTGTATAGCTGCTTCTGGACCTTCAGCACACCATTCAAGTATTTTCTTTGCCCAGTATTGACGTAAAAACCAATGCATTTTACCTTTGCGTACAAGTTGACGTTGTGCAGCATTCCAAAGGTCATCAGCTGTTTGAGCATTTTCCATTTGAAGTTTAGTGTATGCTGGATCTCTTTTATCTGTTGCATGTTTCATCAGTGTTTCACGTGCCCATTCATATGCACCTAAGTAGAGAAACAGGTAGTAGTCAAAAATTAATTATCGTTATACTTCAATAGTTTACACTACATGATGAGTTTTTTTACTTTGGTAACATTTCGAGCAAAAGTACTGACCACACCAACTGTTGGAATTGACTTGCATATGTAAAATATTAACAAAGGCGGTGCTATTTCCTTGGGTTTGTGTTCAAAACGTTGACTATCTCGGAAATAACCGCAATGAACATTTACAATATATCTTTGGCCCAAATTAAATCTACTTTCGCGTTTTTTAGCGAATATAATAGATTTGTGACTCATTGGACACTAGTAACTAGAGTGACGTGTCTAGTCCTTTCTTTGGTGCAGACTGAATTCTATCAGTCAGGTTCGCAATGTGGCCACCATTCTAGGTAGCTCGCCATCACGGTGTACATTGATTCGATGATATTAGATAGTTGGAGTTGACTGACAGAATTCTGTCTGCACCAAAGAAAGGACTAGACACGTCACTCTGGTTACTAATGTCCAATGAAAATACCCACTACAATCCTACAGGAGGTCAATCGCGAGCCCGAATAGGACCGTGGTAACATCTCTGACTGCAGCACTGGGTGACGCGGATTCGAATCTCAGAAGGGACATGAGTTCCTTCAAGGTTGCAGATACGCCTAGCCGACGAATGCCAACTGGCACGAAACCTAGGTCCAAAGCTTCCTACCGATTGCCTCCAACTATATAATATCATCAGATTTGGGACTCTTCAGTAGTAGACACCGACTGACTTCTGCCAATCATGGGCCAATAGATCGGATTCCAGTGGCTGTGAATATTCTGAGAGCTCGCCTTATAACCGAATGATCCTGATTTCGATCCCTGGTAGGTACGTGCTGAAGACGAGCCCAAAAATAGGACGAAACATGTCCGACACTCCTCAGTTTCCCAGTGGTTGTTCAACTGATGTCAGCTCGTGACCACACCAGTAACAGATCAGTTCCCTGCAACCCAATATTTGAAAAATAGTAGATATGACCAACTAATCTCTCTTATTCCTGCATTAATAGGGTCTGATCAACAGTATTAAGAAAGAACAGATGCATTCCGAAATCAATCGTACAAGGACACAACTATGGCCTTACTGGTTTAATGAAATAAGTTTAAATCCAGAAAGGGTCATCAGTGTCTTCAATTTTTCAGAATGCTTTGCAGAAGAATGCCAACAACAACAACAACTAATTACAAGTAAAACGACCTCTAATCAGCTGACTCCAAAAACACTTTATAACTTATATCTGTGGTTATTCACAAACAGAAACTATATTAGTGCTGATCACAGTTAGTTTTTCCAAAATAAAAAAATCTTTCCCATTACAAATAACATACCTTGAATCGAGTCATACATAGGAGTATAGAAACAAAAATTGTCAGCTAGTTCTCTTCTATTAAAGCATTCTTCAATAAAAATATCAGCCGAACGACCATACTGCTCCTGAACAGCAACAACTTCAAGAACAGCTCGTTGAGGAGAAATCTGACCTGTATAGCAAAAGAAATCGTGAAAAAAAATCAAAATGGATTTATCTCAGACAGTAATCAATCATAACTTGTTTTGTAAAAATATATAATCTGAGTACAAGGATGTGTTTTTTAAATAAGGACGACTAAAACGTTAATATTCATAATTTAAGGCAGCAGACGGGAAAACAAATGAGTTACTCAATGGATATGACTATTGTCAGTAAGCGATAGGCTATACAAACACATTAGAGTGTTTGATTGGTTAGAGGGTTTCATCATGAGCTGACATCAGTTAGAGAACCATTGGAAAACTTGGGCTACTGGACAGCTGTTTCGTCAGTTTAGTTTGTCACTCTTAAGCAGTACGCACAGGAGCTCGAACCGAGAACCTTGTTACAAGGCAAGCACATAGACCATTAAGCCCCTGGAACCTGATAAAATGGCCTATGAATTCTAACTTCTGCCAACTCATGACATGGCGCTGTGGTCAGAGCGGTCTGCAAGATAAAATTGTAGACAACAATTGATGTCAGTGTTTATGTCCCGAATCGGGGTCGTGAGAAAAAACTAGAACAAAGCCTAACCTTGACGAATTCACCAACCAATCACAGCAGACTTAACGTGGGCGGATACGATTCGCAGATATATCACCGGATTGTCTAAGAAACAGCCACAAAGAGATGACAGAATAACCTTCAACAGGAAAACAACCAATCGGAAGACGTTGCTTCTCTGCTAGCAATAACGAATAGTATTGTACATAAATATCTGTTGATTCTCTCAATAAACGATCTGTTGCCTGGTCCTTGTCTTTTGTCGTTACAGTGCGACCACTTCGCAATGTCTTCATTAGAATGTGTCATAATCCTGTCCTATGAATGACTCAACCGCACTTCGTTTACGGTCAGCCACTGGGCTTATGAGTGAACTATTATTTGGAGAGATTCATTCTAACGTCCTCAAACAGCCTAGCTACCGGTCATTTATTTCCAGTCATGTGATACTTAAATATCAATAAAGGGTACGATAAGAAGAACACTGACAAATACACGGTTGCTTTTTGTATTAAACACAACTAGCAGTATAAGACATATTGCTGGGTTATTCAGATAAATTGCAATAAATCTGTCCAAATATTAATTCATCAATTGTAACCCTGTCTTTTGAATGACTTAACAATAATGTCTCATAAAGTCAATTTCCATTACATTTGCACAGCTTATAGTTCCCAGTTGATTCATTTGAAGGGATTCGGAATATTGGATGTCGCTTTTATGAGTGGCTTTATTGCACATCCCCGCTAATTGTAGCATCGTAGTCCATTGCTGTAGTAGTGGTTTAATGACAAGTGATATTTTTTTATATGTTTAGCATCACAAATTTTATTTCTGGCGTATATATTATCGGTGGTAGTATTCTCTTGAACTGCGTTACATTTGCTGCACTTTTATCAGAAAGTGTTGCTTGACACTGATATCTGCGCAATGAAATGTATTCAGGGAGTAGTAAGTTCAAAAGTCGAACGTATATTATTGAATTTCCATGATATCACGCTGGAATATTTCGACCTATTTATTAAAACGCCCTAATACCTCCAACGGATAAAGCATGTGGCGCCGCTTTAAGGAAAAGATATGCCATATAATCATTCAGCTTTTATTCAAAGCACGATCTTACATATTTAAGTAATCTAAAAAATAAATGGGATAACTTTATCGCGCTGTTGTCTATGTAAACGAAACTATTACAGTTTCCGAATACTACTGCATTACTAGCTTGCATATGGACTGATTTTGTAAAGTTTCAGTATAGAACTACACACAAACTTGTAGCAATTTACACTGTCACACTACACAGCACACGAAAGAGAAAAAAACTCAAATCAACAATAAGAATAAGTACATCAAGAACTTGATGAATCAAGGAGTTCATAGAGTGAATGTAATTGCGCCATTTAGAACTATCTTGACCAATAACACCAATAGTCTCCCTACTTGGCTGGCTCAAACCAACAGCCAGAGACTTAATGGATTGATGGCAGGTTTTGATTTGACCACTCTTATGTCAACTCACATTGCTTGACGAATAAGGCGGTGGCTATGCATGCGTAACACTTGTCGTAGTCATTGCAATTTGTACAGCTTCACAACTTCATCTATCGATTTCCCGTCCTCACTTAACACTCTACACCCAATCTCAGTATTACTCGCCATGTTACGCCACCTAAGACAGGAGACAAGGAGCAAATACCTATGGTCAATGATAGCTAGGACCTTCATGGCCCTCCACTTTCAACGGCTACGTTTCATAGCCATAGAAAAGAAGAGTGAACTATAGAGCAACAAGCATGCAATTTGATAGACATTCGGATTTCACGTCTTTGTCAAAGATGACGTGAACTGGCAAATGACATACGATCCTTTCGTATCCACATTGCGATTTCATCAGCAATCAGATTATTAGGACTGATGGAAATTCCTAAATGAGAGAAGTGGTCAACACACTCAACTAATTCACTCGCCAATTTTAGACTAGAAGTCAGTGAAAACCAATCCAACAGCACCATATTATATTTGAAAGATACGAATCGCGTGCCAAACACCTCAGAATCTCTACTCAAGGTGTTCAGAAGACTAAATTTTAGTCAGTGTCTTCACATAAGACCACATCATCTGCATCCTCCACATATATGAGACTTTTCCCCAGTAACATGTCAACCTCTAAGTAGCTTAAGTCAGTTAGAGTCATACATACCCATTACTACATCTGTGATGAAGTTAAACAAAAATGAGGATAATGGGCACGCCTGACGAACACCAGTGATCATCACCACTTTCAATAACTTTTCTTCATAAGGTGTTACACGACAAGTGTGTTTACAACATGGAAATTAGTTGGTTACATACACCCTAGTGAGTACTACTTTTAAAATTCGAATCGCACACCAAAGAACTACTGATAAAGTAACTTAGTGCTTTTGAAACTACAGAAACTTCCACTTACATACAAAAGCACGCGATAAATATAATACCATTCAGTAATTTAAATATCCCCATAGTATATTCAGAATATTATTTTTGAGCTAATCATTCTTTTCGAAATCTTCTTCAAACTCTACAGTTATAAATTTATGAATACTAGAATAAAAACAGCCAGTGAAGGCAAGTTGCATCAGTCCTAACGGGTTGATCATTGACGAAATCTCAGCTTGAATACAGAAGGCTCGGTTCGTATGTGCCAGTTTACGCCGTCTCTGGCGTAGACGTGATATCCGGCTGCCTATCGACCAACGAGTGTATGTACTGGTCAGTAGTCTGCTCCGTCCTCCTGTATGGCTGTGATCATAGATGTCTACGATCTCTTTCTCACGTTAGGTGGTATAATAAGGTAAGTAATGTTGACGTTAGACGTAGAGTGTTAGGCAAAGAGGGAAAATCAATCGAAGAGGCTATAAAGTTACATAGATGAGATGGCTAGGTCACGTGCTGCGCATGCCTAACCATCGCCTCCCCCGACGGGAATTACTAGCTGATATAGGTGCAGGCTGGAAAAGAGTAAGTGATGGTCAAACAAAAACATGGCATCAATCCATGAAATCCCTGACAGTTAAACTGAGTCAGGTAGGGAGATGCAGACTTCCAGGTTGGGGCCCTCGGGACTCTAAGAATCAATGAAGGCTGGAGACAATAGGCGACATGGTTCAAAATCGTTGTCAATGGCGCAGATGTATTCAGTCTCTGTAAACTTTCATATTCCTTTCTACCATTACTCATTCTGTTTCACTCTTATACTTGTCAAAACTCTATTGATTCCCTTCACTCATTTTCTTGTCTACCTTTGTGTGCTATTTGGAACGTGGCAACTCGAACTGCTGCACTTCAGTGCCAAGTTCCATGTTGAATCCAGACAGACAGTATGGCTGTGAGACATGGCCACAGAATGTGAAAGATATGAAAAGGCTAGTTGTCTTTGATCATAGTTACCTGCGTTCTATCGCCCGTGCGAAGTGCTATAATATGGTGAGCAATATTGAGGTTAGGCTTCGGTCCAGTGCGAGGTAAGGAGGGGAAATCAATCGACGACGCTGTAAAGTTACACCGATTGAGATGATTAGGACATGTGTCTAGCCATCACCTCCCTCAACAATGGGTAATGTTAGCTGACACAGGGTCATGTTGGAAAAGAACCACGTAGTCACACCAAAAAATGGCATCACTCAATAAAATCCACAACAGTTACTTTAAGCCAGCAACGTAGGAAGGTGTAGGTTTCGTTGTTGGGGTCCTCCGGACAGTAAAAACCAATGACTCGAGACAATTGATGATATGGCTCAAAATCGTTCTCAATGGCACAGACGCATCCACTCCCTGTGACTTATAATACCCAATAAAACAGTATGGTTCTTCGAAATTACTATTCTTTTTGCCTCATATCTATGTTTATCTAAACCAAACTGGAACATGTTCACGAATGCGTAAGCATGAATCCCTTTTAGTACGACGTATATAAGTAGCTCTGCAGGAACAGTAGAATTCGTATACACATTGTGATACCGCCATCATTGGGAATTTATGTTTAATACACAAACTGACGTGAAGTTCTAAATTAATGAAAGTTCTCTCAATTGATGTCATCACCATCTGGCTCAATATATCACTGGATATATCGCCTTTGAACTACACTTTAAAAAAAATTATTTTTCTTACCACATCCCGCTCAATTCTATCAGTTCTCTGAGAAATATATTTCTTCACAAAATTGGTAGGATAACTATTTTGTAGCAGGGTACTTTTAAGATTTTCACTGTCATCGTCAATACAATCCTTGGTACATATGCATCTGATTCTATGAGTAAGATAACGAATTAAATCCTGTCTTTACTTTATACGTATGAAACTAAACAAATAGATATACTGTCTATTCCACGTTGCTATTCTATAGATATTTCTCCTTAACGTATCGTCTAACGTTCTAGTAAGAAAAATATCAAGAAAGGGAACTCTATCTTGATACTCTTCTTCGCAAGTGAATTTAATTGCTGGGTGTACATAAGTGAAGACTTGCATTAGATGTTGTTTATTCAAATTCTTGCCACAAACTAATAAAAGTATCGTCTAAATAACGGTTATAATACTCAATTTTGTTCGACACTTTTCTCAGATGACCATCTTCTGATTTTGCTAAGAAGATATCAGCCAATAAGGGATGTAGGGGGAAACCATGGCAACTGCATCTATATACAAAATGAACATTCGTAGTACATTATGGTGACAATTTTCGCAATATCACAAGTGTGATACCAATATTCCTTTTTCTTATACTTAGTCCACAACTTTAACAAGGGGAACATGGGTAAATAATGACGTTACATCCAAAGATAACATAGTTTTGTCCAATATGTTCATATTTTTGAAATGTTTTCAGCATGAGTAAGGACATCTTTTACACTATATTTAACTAACGCCCGATGTGATGGCTCCAGCAAATTTACCAGCTATTTAGCAGTTAAATAAAATGGCGAATTCGACATGTCTGTAATGGGGCGTAGAGGAACTCCCTGCTCATAGATCTTCGGTAAACTACAAATCCTAGGTATATGTGCCCCGGAGGGCTTAATAGCGTGGAATATAGAACTATCAGTTAGATTTTCATCTTCTGAAGACTTCAAAGTCTAAGCAAACTGATGTTCCGTAGTTTCAATCAAATCTTTAAAGTTACCCGACTTTTGACTGCAGTGAACGTGCCCTTCAGTTTCTGAGTGTTGAACTTAAATTGTAATCTAACTCCAGGTTTATTGAAGATTTCCAAATTGATCTTGAAAGTTCTCTGCACAAAAATTAATGGCCTGATTCCATACTTTTTGTTGATAACAGCTTGATTCCACACCGTATACTTTGGTACAGGTAGGGAATTTTCAGCCTGTGATATCGGTAGCCCAAATTTCTCAGGCCGACCATAGATATCAGGTGTGCATCGGCAGGGGATCGGACCACGGACTATGTGCATGGTGGGCGAGAGTCCTAACCACTGTGCCACCGACGCTGTGCTTCTCTTCTCGATCTCGTGTCCAGGAAGCTGCATTTTTATATTCTAAGGAGTCTTTCCGATTCTAGAGCAGTTATTTGAAGTCTAAATAGCGATGGGATTGATTTTTACATGGTGGGGGGTTGTTACACCCACCACTATGTGTATTTGAGTTATCCGAATTCCGCATTTTAAGCTATCTGAATCCTGTTGAAGATGGGTTTGACAGATAGAATCGGTAAAAAAAAGTGTATCCGCTTGAAGAGGAGAAAATAAAGATGTGATAGAAGTATAAAACTTGAGCACTGTGGTAGAATATTACTCCCATATGGATAAGATTAATGAAGCAAAACGTTGTGCGAGTGACTTGATATGATTATGAGCAACAATTTGTGCTCGAAACGTGATCATCAGTTAATATTACTATACAACACTGTGTGATTTATCAAAATAAAATCTTATCCATAAAGGATGTGATAGATGTAAAAGAAACATATAAACTGACTAATTCTTCAAATTGCTTTCACTCCGAGGAAGATTTCAGGGCATTTCACCTTTATGCACTAATGAAAATCACCCAGGACTTACAACAACAGTAAAGCATACTTTTCAAAAATTTAAAAATTAGATAATTTACAGTATTATAATAATAATAATAATAATAATAATAATAATAAATCAGCTTACCGAAATGCAACCAAGGTGATAATCCACTCAGAGCAGGATTGGCTGCATTACTTCTGTTCGGATCGAATTTTTCCAAGCGCTTCTCAATAAACTTGTAGAGAACTTTAAAACCAGCCTGAGTACCAGGCGTTGCCCAGTCAACTGGTTTGACACTTTTGTCACCAACATACTTTGATAAAACTGACTCCCAGTCAATAGTAGGCTAATGAACAAAGGCATAATTGATTGTAGATGATTAGATGATTAGGATGGAAACAATCTTTCTTATCTTCTTCTTCTTCTTCTAAAATATCAACGCTGAGTTAACTATACTTAAAAATTATATTTATTTAACACTAGTCTATAAATGTGTGAATTTAGTGATTACAAAATACGTTGGAAAAATGGAATACAAACAGACAAAATTGTTTGGAAAAGCAATAATCTTTACGCGCATAAACATAATTTGCATTCTAAATAATATACGCTATCAAGAAAGCACTTACAATACTACTAATTTAGTGTTTCAAAGCTAATTAAATGAAGCATATTATATATATATATATATATATATATATATATATATATACCAGACATCAATATTATTCTGTATATACTTCAGGTAAGTGAATACATTATATAAGTGTCTATTGATTTGCTGATAAGGAAATTGAAAGCAATTATTTACATCTCGTCATTGTAAACGATGTAGTACAACAATAGTAGTGTATTCTGCCCATTCACCTTTATTGTTCGTCCCCACCGCCTTTATTCTTCCCTGGACTCCACAAAAAAGACTATCTCATATTACGCAGAACACTGAAGACTGTAAGTAGTAGTAGTAGTGTGTGTGCCTCTAACTCAACTAACTGATATTATTGTCAATAGGCATTTCAATTCCCACAAGCATTTGGCTAAAGTTATCTTGTCCGATACTGAACATCCACTTTATTTGTAACTTTTGCCTTGTACATCTTCGTGTAAAACCAGAAGAAACTTCATAGGAATATTCGCTCATACAGCTACTGTCTGTCTGTTTTCGATATAGAACTTTGCACATATGTGCGACAATTCAAGTCGCACACAAAGCAAGAGAAGAAATGCATATTAGAGACAGTAAACACAGGTGTGAGACAAAGGAAAAGTAATAACGAAGAATAAAACAGTTTCATTGGAAATCATGAGTCACAAGGAGTGGATGCATCTGCGCCATTGAGAACGATTTTGAGCCATATCACCAATTATTTCCAACCATTGGTTTTTACCGTCCCGAGGACCCCAGCCAGTCAGGAAGTCTACACCTTCCTACGTGGCTGGCTGAAAGTAACTGTTGTGGATCTCATTGAGTGATGCCATGTTTTGGTTTGACCACGTGGTTCTTTTCCAACCTGACCCAGTGTCAGCTAACATTGCCCATTATCGAGATAGGTGATGACTAGACACATGTCCTAACCATCTCAATCGGTGTAACTTTACAGTCTCGTCGATTGATTTCCCCTCCTTACTTAGCACTGGACCGAAGCCTAACCTCAATATTGCTCACCTTATTATACCATTTCACACGGGAGATAGAACGCAGACACCTATGATAAAAGACAGATAATCTTTTCATGTCTTCCGCTCTCAATGGCCAGGTCTCACAGCCATAAAGGAGGACAGAGCGGACTGCTGAGCAGTACACACACCATTTGGTCCATAGTCGGATATCACGTCTACGCCAGAGACGGTGTAAACTGGCATATGCTAAACTGGCAGCTACTAAATATAAAAATTCTACTATACCATATTTAGCACGGGTTTTGTGTGAAGAGAGAGTCAGGTGTCAGAAAAGAAATTATAAACTTTTTCATTCAGTAATCTGAACTGTAAAGTATAAGCGAAAATTATTATTACATGTATTACTATCTATGATACTATCTACTTATACTTCACTATGTTTCCACCAACATTCTGTTTATAGAGATTTCATTAATAATAGTATTATTACTATTTTAAAGTTTATGCATGTAAATATTTAGAAAAGGCGTTAAATTGTTGCAATATGCATAAAAACACTGAAAATTCCATTCGGTACATATAATTAGTATTGTTTGGAATAAAATTATTATTATTATTTATGGTGAGTAAGCAGTGAATTTAAACTTCACAATAGGAGAGACAAAGCCAGAATATAGGGGCCTGGAACAATCGTTTCACACTATACATATCAGAATACTACAGGTGGCGGAGTTGATGAAATGAAACAACAATATTGACAATTACAGGATTTCATAATGAGCTGACGTTGGTTATAGTACTAGACAGCTGTTTCGCCCTAGTTTGTGACTCTTCATCAGTACGCACCCACCGGGGTTCGAACCCAGGAGCTTCTGGTTAAAAGGTGAACTAGCTCGCAGACCATTAAGCCACTGGGACACGATCCAATGGCCACTCCATGAATCCCAACTTCTGCCAATTCACGACATAGTGCGACCACTAGCCAATGTTTTCGGCGAGTATTTGTCCTCACCCCCGACCTGCTGCACTCCAGGTGACTACCTACCTGAATAGGGCCATTCGCCAGTGAGCATCTCATTGATATACAAGTATTGGTTTGTAGGGATTTGATTGATTGGTTACAGAAATTCATTATGAACCCCGGTGGGTGCGTACTGACGACGAGTCCCAAACTAGGATGAAACAGTTGTCCAGTACTCCCAGGTTTCCCAATGGTTCTCTAGCCAATGAAATGCTGTAAACAATCAATCAAATCCCTACAAACCAATACTTGAATATTGAAAGTATTGAGAAATATACTCATTTATTGGTAGGAGAAAAAACAGCTTTCTTGTTCACATACCCCTATGGAGTCTGTTACATTGGACAATGTAAGCGTGTTCTCCGGAAACACGTAGTTGAACACCATCTGGTTTGATTGATGAAAGGCAAGCATAGGATGAGGAAGTTTTCAATTTGTGAACATTTTATGGGATCAGATCATTCAGTCTCATGTGACTTATCCCTTAATGTTATCTACAGAGACAAATTCAGTCGTTCTAAAAGCTTGAGTCTTCTGCACTTACATGTAACCAAAACTCTAGCCGAACACAGAGAAAAAACTTAAAGTATGTATTCGAAAACGTTTTTTATGAAACCCCATTCTTGACCTTTGTGAAAGTAATGCTTTTTAGTTTTTATTTTATTCTAATTTACCACTTGAATTCATTGCAATTCACTGTAACTTCACCTTTCCTATTGTAAACATTATCGTACTCTTAATCTTTTTTTGGACAACTACTTGGCATAACTTTTAATACCAATTCCCTTCAAAAATTTTGTAATTTATCCACTTCAACTCTATCCTCTTAAACATCTTGATTGTTATCATCTGCTTATCGACTGAGCACTTTTTAGTGCCACTAAGTGTCTTTTTCCGTAATATAAATACGTCTGTACAGCTTGAAAATCTTTCTATCTCCTTATGAATATTGACACTAGCAATACACGGAAATCTGAAATATGCTAAATAAAAGACAATGATTTCAAACTAATGATACTCGAAGCAGTTAAAAAGAAGATTTCTGCAATCTTTTGGGCGTCGATGGCACAGTGGTTAGGACTCTCGCCGACCATGCACATGGTCAGGGGTTCGATCCCCAGCCGACGCACACCTGATATCAATGGTCAGCCTGCAAAATTTGAGCTACCAATATAATATGCTGGAAATTCCATACTTGAACCAAAACAAAGGCGTAGAATCAAGCTATAATCTAAAATAAAAAAAATTAAACATGAAAAAAATATATTTGTTCAGTCGCAGGAAAATTGAAACGAGTAATTTCAACGTTTCTTTCCGCAAACTGGCCCGAACTTTATCGGGGAAATTAATCGAAATTAAAATAACACAGGTTTATGCATTGGTAGGACATCTCTTGTTTTCAAAAACTTTGTCCAATCATATTGTGCTGGTGTGATACAGACAATGTGTGCCAACGACAGGTGATTCTCACATAATTCCCACAGATCAAGTCAGCAATAGCAATAGAATACAATATATCCATTTGAACATTGCATTTGATGCTAGAGTCAGAATACTTTTCCCACGCTTGTACACTGCATTAAAAACAAAATACTATGTATATTTGAACATTGTATTTCATGTCGTTTGATGTGAACCGAAATCACGCGATCGGTAGATTGGCTAACGAATTTAAACTGTTGATATATACACAGTGGTGTGATTAATAAAAAGTGTACTTTGGCTTCCGTGTCTTGCCTTCGATTGTTACAATATGAGTCATGAAAAAGGCATCAAAATATAATTAACAAAACTGCATGAACTGTGATCAAAATTTGACCTCAAACTTCTAACAAATATTAGTCCACTTTTGTTAAACACTGTAAACAGTGTGTACTTTTGCATCAAAATTTTAGTGATTATGTTCGACTGAAGTTCATGGTCGTAGATAACTGAATATGAAAAATATATGTGTATATGAGGTATACAATGGTGTGTGCGTGTGTGTGTTTGCATTTGTGTATGGGGAAACAATTGTAAGTAAATCATTTGTTGGCCTCCCCATAAGAAGATATGGACAATCGGGAATTTAGATCAAATATGATAGATTAGTGATACATCTCCATTTTTATTCATTAATCAGGACTTGTCATGCATTAGCTAACACCACACACCTTCACGTCTCTTCAGACTTTCTGTTTAGCTCCACGGCACGAGAACTGACTGCATCAATATGATTAAGTGTATGGCGCTTTAATGTTTTGGAATTCGGACATATACGCGGTTATGCCTAAGCGCTTTCCAGAATACATTAGGATACTCATTTTTTTTTCACTAAAGCAAGTTTGACAGAATACCGCAGGAACCCATTAAGTTCTTTCATCGTCGTTGGATCTTTGCATTTCCTCAATAATTTAATAATTCCCATTGTAGCACTAACAACACAATATTCAGCGAAGAGATTCTTCTCAACGAATTTATTATTAAGCTGTACAATCGTATATATATATATATATATATTTGTGTATATATATACCTATAGACATATATATATATATGTAGTTTTTCAAGAAATTATATCCTGTGAGGGAATTAGATCAAAGGCGTGAATACATGAAATGATAATAATAGTAGTAGTATGATATGGAATTAAAATATTTGTGATTATAATCATACTTAAATGTCAAATAACAAAACAATTAGTATCATATTTAGAGTAATTCATAAAGTGTATATATGCTGGAAAGGAATGCATAATTATAGGATTAGTAGGCTAATATAAAAATGTTACACGATATGGTGTAAAATTTGATAAAATAGAATTCAATACTGTAAAAATGTCCGGGATTTAGAATGACAAGTGGGACAAGCGAAAACAATGCAGAGTGAGAATAATAGTTATTATAATGATAATAATAATAATCGTAGAAATGAGTGAAAGGTACACAGAATAACTAAATAAACAAAATAAATAAATTCGTTGAGAAGAATCTCTCCGCTGAATATTGTGTTGTTAATGCTACAATGGGAATTATTAAATTATTGAAAAAATGCAAAGATCCAACGACGATGAAAGAACTTAATGGGTTCCTGCGGTATTCTGTCAAACTTGCTTTAGTGAAAAGAAAATGAGTATCCTAATGTATTCTGGAAAGCGCTTAGGCATAACCGCGTATATGTCCGAATTCCAAAACATTAAAGCGCCATACACTTAATCATATTGATGCAGTCAGTTCTCGTGCCGTGGAGCTAAACAGAAAGTCTGAAGAGACGTGAAGGTGTGGTGTTAGCTAATGCATGACAAGTCCTGATTAATGAATAAAAATGGAGGTGAATCACCAATCTATCATATTTGATCTAAATTCCCTATTGTCCATATATTCTTATGCGGAGGTCAACAAATGATTTACTTGCAATTGTTTCCCCATACACAAATGCACACACACACACCATTGTATACCTGATATACACATATATTTTTCATATTCAGTTATCTACGACCATGAACTTCAGTCGAGCCTAATCACTAAAATTTTGATGCAAAAGTACACACTGTTTACAGTGTTTAACAAAAGTGGACTAATAATTGTTAGAAGTTTGAGGTCAAATTTTGATCACAGTTCATGCAATTTTGTTTATTATATTTTGATGCCTTTTTCATGACTCATATTATTGGAGAAAGTTTTTTAAATCATGGAAAATTCCCATTGTAACATATAGAAAATCAAAACAAATGATTCAGCGAAGAGACTCTTTTCAGCGAATTTATCATCAAGCTGTACTATCGTATATATATTTCATGCATTCACACCTATGTTTCAATTCCCTCACCGGATATAACTTCTTAAAAGTTTTTTAAAACAAGAGATATCCTACTCATGTATAAACCTTTGTTATTTTAGTTTCGATTAACTTCCCTGATGAAGTTTGGACCAGCTTGACGATAGAAACGTTGGAATTACTCATTTCAATTTTCCTGAGATTTTAGAAATCTAAGTTTTACACAAGTCAACTTCTCATTCGGCACCCTTTATTCTGGAACTGTTCGGTGAATTCTTGATCACATTTCATAAGAATAGGTGAGGTTATGATGCTTATATGAGTGAGTGATGACGATTTTGAAATATCATTAAGTATCAAACGAAAAACTGGGGGAATCAGCACATGCATGCAAAAAATTTCCCAAGGTCACTTGTTAGAAATGCCCATTTAAAACATCACAGTCATTGATTACCAACCCAAACTTTCAGCAATACAAAAAAAAATTTTTTTGAATAGTAAATAGTAGTGAATTTTTCTTATCAAATATATAACTAAAAAAGGTAATATAATAAAGAAGTCTAACTTACCGGTGGATTAGGCGTATTCTCAGATGTATATGGATGCTTAATAATGGGTGGAAACTCTGTGAGATAAACTGAAGATTGTGCAAACAGCTTTGTTCTGATTGTACGTGCAGAATATTCACGTTTATCTGAGCCACACCAGACTGGAACAATGTTGTGCGCATCAATCTAGTTAATAGCAAGACGTAACAACACATGACATTTATCCACACATTATATAGGGATGCTAAAATTCGCATTTAACATATAAATTTTTATTATCAGATGATACTGATCAACCTTATGGACGAATTAGCATGAATAATAAGCGGATCATAGAATGTGTAGCACACATAATTTATCCCTAAATTACCTGTAAGGTAAAATCTAACCAGAAAGGGACCTCAGTGCCAGTGGATATCAGGCTTTACACGAGGACGTAACACGGGAAACTGATAAAAAGAGATTAGACGTGATTTCTTTACTTGATCTTAGAACATACCAACTAATTGAAAGGAAACTATGTTTAGTCAATTTAATGTGCAGAATTTTCTTTTATGGCTATTAATGAATATACTTTCTCTATAAATAATACACTAAATACTGTTCTGAAGAACTAAGCCTGCAAGAATTTTAATTTAGATGGACAGCAGTAACTAGGGAATTAACACATTTTAACATTATTTGCAAGAATTTTATCACAGAGTACATGCTTCAATGAAGACAAAAGAAATTTAGTAGGAAAACTTTGTTACATAAACATACTTCAGAAGTTAATTGGTGGATGGTGACTAGCAGTAGAATCCAGGATGCGCATTTCGTCCTATTTGGGACTCGTCATCTGAATGTGCCTGTATTCCACAGTGAGTGATGATGTTCCCACTGAGGCTCAAAACCCAGTGCCCTTAGTTTCAAACGCCAAAGCGTCATCCACTAGACCAAATGGGCCACGAGAGCCACTTTTTGTGCAACGGGTCATATTAATTATTTAATTGAATTTTAGATTTCCCCGTCGATTGATTGGATCGAAGTGCTCGGTGTCAGTACTAGTCACCACCCACCAATTAACTTCTAATTACATGCCCAGACATCGTCGAAGCATCTGCACAAGAAGCCGATATGTCACCCTCAGACCGAGCACTTCGGTCCAATCAGTCGACAGGAAAATCTAAAATTGAATTAAATAAACATTCCCCACCTGATAATGATAACGAAAAAGTATTAGATTCATTTTCTTCAAAAGACTGATAAATTTAAACTGATGAAAATTATCCAACAATTTAACGGAAAATTACCGGGTTTTCGGATTCCTGATGCATGCGAAAGACTTCAGTTGACTATTTCAACTGACTGACATATTAATGTAGAACTATACACTAAAGTGAAGTATTTCAAGTTGCTACACTATGGAAAACCGTGAACAATAGGAAAATTAAGGAGCGCATTGAAACTACAGTGGATAAAGATGCACGACAGAGAACTACTCAATAAAGAATAGTGAGGAATTTCAAAATCTGGATGCTGACATATGCAACACTGTGAACAATTCGGAGCAAGTCTACTAACTACTAACAACCTCAAACCATTGTTTCCTTAACCTGCACGAACCTAGCCAGACAATCCATACACTCCTATGTTGCCCCAACCATCAGTTAAAGACTTCATGGATTGGTACAATGTTTTAGTCTGACTACACCTAAGTCTCTTCCAAACTAGTCCTATTACAGCTAATAGTGTTCATATATCGAAGGTAGTGACTCCGAATGCTTATCACATGCCCTTACTATCTCCATAGATGGACACAAAATCAATAGAATTCCCCTTCCTATCTAAAGGTCCACTATTAACCTCATTATTACTGATTAGATTGCCCTGCCTAGCATAAAAGACTGAAAGAAGGCAACTACCGTTAAAATTCATATCTTTCACCTTCAGTAAACCATGTCTCACACTCATAAAAGTATAACACAGAAGATTCCTGCACAGATGACAAGTCCTTTGATAGGTAGCCAGTGGTTACGTCTGTACCAAAAACGTCGAAGTTGACAAATACCAAACAAGTGTACAGTATCTATCAGAAATCAGTTTATTAAGACTAGAGAAACTTATCAAACACGTGAAGTTGTTAACATATGCAACAGCGCATATGATATGAAAATCTCATTGAAACTGGAACACGACCATCCGGTTGCTTTCTATCCCATCGCCCTTGGCAGTGTGCAGTTAGGAGGACGCTATCAGAGAGTCTGATAGGCTTATATACTTAGTGGAAGACGAACAAAGGTGTCACAGTTTATACTTGTAAAATGTATGGTAAACGTTCTAATATAATCTACATCCCAAAACTCTTAAATTTCTAAAAACGTGATAGTAATTACGAAAATCTATCAAGACTCATCAGTGGTCCAGCGGTAGAACGCTGGCCAACCACGACTCACGTGGTCCGGTGTTCGATCCCCGACTGATGCACTCTTAAACTTCGCTAGGCCGATGGTAACGCTTGCTAAAGAGGGACGGTTGAGTGTGAGGCTAGCACCTCCGTCCCGCAAAAATAAAACAACTGCTACGGAAACTTCAAAGCTCTAGCTTGAAGCCCTGGGAAGTAAAGATTTAAAATAAATAAATAATTTATCAAAGCGAAATAGTGAAAATCTTACTTCACAAAAAGGAATAGAAGTAGGCATTTCTTGTACAACTTTCTTGACCCAAGAACGAGGGGCTCTTAGAGGACAAAAGTCTGTGATCAAACAACCAATATTCAGTAATTTAACTAAATTAACAACTGCTTTTGCAACATTTTCATCATAAAGAAACTCTTTTTGTATTCGTTCAGTTTGATTTGACAATGCGTTCTCATCTGACCATCTAAATTTACATCCAGATGATACATTTTCAGTATTAACAACGTGTTCAGAAGCATTTAACAAATGGAATGGAATATTTAATGAACGACATTCCTACAAATAAAGAAATAAAGGCATTAGAGTTTCTAAGATACCATTATCATTTTTTTTTATGAAACACCATAATTTATAAGTAAGCTGTACCTAATTAATTAATAAGATGAACAAACATGTTATCGTCAATCCTACATGTTTGCATTTGTTTCAGTGGAAGATATCCCATGTGCATGTGTAGGAAGTATCTTTAATGTATCCGTTATGAGTTTATATCGAGTTTAATGGTAATTAAAGTAGTAAAACACCGTATACAAGATTGCTGTTCTATTAGGTATCCCTTTAAAGTGATTCAAAAATTAAGTAAGTTAGATAATTTTTAATCCCTCGAGTTACGGGTGGAATACGGGGCTTCAGCAGCATAATTTCCCTTCATAATGTTCACTGCACTCTGTTTTAGCTGGCTGTACAATTGCCCATTAGTTACTATCTCCTCCTTACACAGTCTCCTCCAGATCATCCTCAGATGTCCAACTCATCGTTTCTCATTCGGGTCCCACTATACATGCTAGATCGTGATGTCACTCAAAGGTCTCCGCAATGTTTGTCTAATCCATCTCCACTTTCTTCTGCATATTTGTTGGATTATAGGTTGTTTTCCAGAGTTTCTTGTTTTTTTTTTTTGTGCTTTCTCACCGTTTGGTCTTCAGTATCAAACCCGCAAAGACAGCTGTTGATGAAAGTCTGTAGACTGTTGAAAATGGTTTTGTTGACGCCTTAAGTCTGTGAACGACATACAAGAAGTGAATTGACATTAGCATTAAAAGTTCACATCTTGAGTGCAATAGATTTCCATATTGATTTCAGATTAATGAAGATTTAACTAACTTTTTCGACCCTACCTTTGGCATCCTCATTCGCGTTGCCTGTAGTTGAAAAACAATGCTACCTAAACAAATGAAACAAATAGCTTTCTTAAAAATTCTTCGTGTTGATGGCGATTGATTCTTTTTGTTGTTACTCACTACGCATTTTCATCGTCTCTGTCTTCTCTATATACATTAGAAGTCTTGTCTTTGCTGTCTCTTCTGATAACTTGTTGATTTTCGTCTAGAGATCTTTGAGTCTGTGCGACACAAATCATCTGCAAAGTCACCGAAAATACCCACTGAATCATGAAGAAAATATAAGACAATTTAGCGGAGAAAATTTTTTCTTTATCGACAAAATCATCTTCAGAGGCTGTACAGTCGTATTCATATTTACCAATAGTGTATAGTAGTCTGTTGTTGAGTAATAGGGGGTGACATAATTGATATAATTACTCAGAAGTGGCTTTAGAAGTAAAAATAGAAGTTATGAACTACGTAGGATTAGAAATTTGATAAGGTTAAAATTGTTATTGAGTGAGAATAAAGGTAGTTGAGTATCCATTTAACAATTGTGAAGAAGGTGAGAAAATGTACCAAAGAAACATATGACAGTGACAATAGTGAATTAAATATTAAAAGCAAACTAAAAGTAAAGTTGAACAACAAAAAATTTACAAGGAACGACTAGTGAAGACCATGGTAGAATAAGAGACTAGACAAACTTTTTCTGTAGGAATGACTGACTGGTTTTAACATTGGACTTTGCACCGATGTGCTGAAGCTCAAGTAGCCACACTGCATATGGCACACAAAGCAAGAGAAGAAAGTAAAACGAAATGCAAAACAGAGACAGTAAACGGAGAGATGAGGCAAAAAGAATAGTAATATCGAAGAACAATATTGTTTTATTGGATATTATAAGTCACAAGGAGGGGATGCATCTGTGCTATTGAGAACGATTTTGAGCCATATCACCAACTGTCTCCGGCCACTTTTTCTGTATACATAGTTCAGGGTTGTATTGACAAATTAACGACGCCCCCACCATACACAAATGCCGAAACCTAAAGCCCTTTGTTCCATTCAGCCTCACCTTGCAAATAATCTTAAAAGACGACTCTGGTGGAACTACGTGGCTTGAGAATTGAGCTAGTATCTATCTTGCATTGTCCTTTTGCTAACCATGCCGGATAATGTCCAGAGATGCGTTTGGAAAGTGTGCGCTTTGTGCGGTCAATGTAACTAGCTCCACACGACCGGGTGAATTTATAAACACACATTGAAGTGGCGCAAAGTGGCAGTTTATTCTTCACAGATCTGCAAAGTCCGGATGTTACAGCTTCTTTTCGTCGGTCCAGCGTATTCCCGTCTTCTCGCTCTCCACGATTAGCCGCATGATTTAATCTGCCACAACCAGAAATGTCATCGATGATAGTAGACAGCCATACCTTACTTGCGTCTTCAATTCAAAGGCACTGTATTTCCTACTGCTGAACAGTACTATATATATACAACTTCCACGCAGAAGGAATTTTTAAGAATTGCAAACTATTTCTTACCCACTATTCATCAGAATGTAACCATTTAAGGTCTATTTTTTCTCTTGCAACACTTCTCATGAAACAGTTTTATCAGAAAGATACGCTACTCAGTTGTCGAAATAAAGACAGCATACACAAAGTGAAATCGGTGAAGAATTTAAATCTTAAGTATATATTGATGAAATCCTGTCTATATTTTAGCAATGTGTATCTGCAGGAAAGTATAAAATGAGATACAACTCAGCAGCAATGTATGGTATCGTATATTAGGTCACGAGTCAAATCCATTTTATAAAACTTAACGAGAAACTCCAACTCATAAAGTTATGGGACATAGAACAGATTTCTAACCTATAATTCACTGGTTACACATTGAATAATTAGTAAAGTGCAAAGATGATAAAACAGAACTGGTAGAATGATCACGTCAAGACGTGACTGACGCAATATACACAGTTATCAATTAAGTCCAAGTTACACCACTTTTCAGATGGAATTTTAGTTTTTTTTGAAGTTGAATAACCTAGTCACCCAGGAAAAGTAACAGAAGAAGGTTCTAACTGAACTGCCGAAAGAAGTATTCAAATAGTACGGGAATAAGTCAGTGTGACAGATATGTCACCTTGAATTTGAGAGTAAGACAGTCCAACGACTTCAGTATGTAGGGAAAGATAGAAATTCTCATTCGACAATCGCAGAGCAATCAGGCTACGTAATATGACTTTATCCATCTATAACAAGTGAACATCAAATCGTAGCTCTGGAACATTAACTTCACAAATCAGACTGGTTTTAGGCTTACTTAAGAGAATATTTGCTAAAAATTTACCTTTAACTAGGCTATAGGATATAACCAGTTTTGAGACATTATAAAATTCGCTCACTCGTATCGATACTTCTAACTAATTCAGTTGCATACGAATTTTTATTTTAACTGATTGTTATTTTGATTAAGGAATTTTATTCAGTGACAAAAACAAAAGGATTTTCCTATCAACGAACGGCTTCTAATACTTTTTTTAGGAAGTGGGGATGGCCACTGTACTATTTCTTCACTACAATTATCATAACTGGCATTAAAACTTCAAATGATGACCAACTGCTTGTGTCTAATGCCCATTCACTTATTTTATCGAGAAGTTTCGGAGTTTTTTCAGTGAATGCCAAGTCAACATGTTATAGTATTTTTCTTTAATTCGCACAAATGTGCTTTACTGACTCACATATAGAGAGGTAAAGTTGTTTTGCTTCTAACTGGTATTTATAACACCTAAAGAAGAAACAAATCCAGATAGATTACTCTACAGACTAAATAGTTTAATTTAACTAGCGAGAATTTTTAAAAATACCCTTTATGCTTGTACTACTCATTCGTAAAGACTAATCATTAACCCAAGGAAACTATATGTTAGGGATGAACTTATGCAACGACTGGGGACTTCTGGGATACTTTCCGTCTTTGGCTTTTGAAGAGTAACATTTATTACCATTAGGGTATACATGACTTAATCAAACAGTAGCAGTTACAGTGACAGAAATATTTTGACACTTTTGAGGGGATTCGTGATAAAAGAAACAAATATGTAGTGAAACTAGATCAAAGAGACAGATGGCATCAACACTGGACCAGGTGTTTAAAAGTAGTAGTAGTAGTGCAGGTTCCTGCACATACTTGAGCATTGTGACCGTAATTGGAGAATATTTTAATAAAAATAAATACTGGTGGTTTGATAGGCTTTCTAACTTTCTGCATTGTTTTTCTGCAACTAATAACATTGGTATTATGATTTTTTTATCCCTCTTTTATTTAACTGAGCTCACCGTATAACGTACCGACGTGAAATAAGTCAAAATTCTATACACGTACTGTGTTACTTATGTTCGTGCTTATCTGAACAAAATGGATTTCTGATTAAAGATATCAATAAAAATACCAAGAAACACAAGTTGTATATCAGTAAAAAAAATAATAAACCATAAGAACGCATTTTGTTAATTAGTAATGTTATTAATATACAAGCATATCCTTTTAAAACAATATATAAACTTCATCTTACTTGTTCCACTTCAGCTAGTCCACCGATCATGAACTTAAAATGTCTCAAAGTATCAGCTTGGTAGGCAGGAACCAAACAAAAACAAACTTGGAGAGGAACCTCAAATTTTAAGGCTAAGCGCTGTGCATATAAAAACGCCCAGTTATCTGAAATACAAGATATTAGCAGAGTTTATTGGAAGATAAGAAGACAAATAAAACCGCATCTTGATATCAGATGTCAGAATTAGGAACACACTGAAACCTATGCTGTTATCACTCAATCAGATGCCTCTATACAACTGAACGAGCTAACAACCCACTTTGATACCAAAATATTGATGTGATGGTATATTAATCGTAAAAATCAATAAAAAACCATTTGCAATCTTTATTTAACAAACCCGTGTACTACTAAAGGTGGGAGAATAACTGTGCATATTTAGGTTACCGTTTGGCGTTGGATATGAATGAGCTGCTCATAAAAATTAGGGAATACTAGTTATACACTCGCACTGTACATGGTCACATCTTATCATTCTTAGTACACCTATCAGGTGCATTAAGGTCTAAAGAAACAGACACTGCGGTCAGATTGGCCACAATAACTTTCTGCAATGAACGAACCTTACGGTAACATTAGTGACCCACCTAGACCGTAGAATGTTCACTAGCTTTCTAAGCTCCTGCTTTTCTAACACTTACACATAAGAAAATGTAAACACCAAGTATCCATGAATTTTATTTGTCAAAACATTCAGGTGTGATAATCGTGTCCTTCTGTCACAACTATTCATATGTAACAGTTACAAATAAGTAAGTGTTATATACATGAAAAACGTACATTAAAATACATCCAAACTATGTATATTAGATAAGGATGGTTCATCAAGAAAAGCATACGCCTGGTTTATGTTTAATTCTCTCAAGGCACGCATTTCTTTACGTGAACTTTACTATGGTTTTAGTAATTTGCATACCATCAAGTGGAGTGTGTTAACTTTTGAAAGCTACTGACAGAATATATCCATTAAATACCTTCTATGATGAATGGAGAAATATTTGCACTTCATCGAAGAATGAGGATAAGCGAAAGTAATTTCGAAGTAAGGAAACACATTTCAGAGAAGAGACGAAAATGCTCGAACTATTATTACAATTTAACAACTTATCTTTGTTATTGAAACTGAAAAATAATCAAAAAACGAAGTTGAAAATGGAAATATGCAAAGCTAACCACAAAAATTAACCTTCTACTACCTTATTGCAGTAAAGTTTGGGAAATTTATGCATTCAACATGTTTTACCTTGAACTCTCTGGTCACGGGACATCCAATAAAGTACACCACCATGTCCGGCTTCATTACTTTTTTCTGGAAAATTCTCCGGTCCAGAAAGGTGCCTTATTCTTGACTTACAGAATTTGACAGTCCTAGCAGATTCTGCGAAAGAAGTGCGTTTATTATGTACCGATTCCAGCCAATCAGGAAATGTCTTGGATGAAGGCATTTTATTTCTTCTCTGAAAAGTGGGATGACATTGCAGGAAGTTACTTGAAGGCATTATTACAAATAAATCTATTAGATAACAGTCAACCTATTATGTTGATAAATTTTCAACATGTTTAATGAGCAAACACTTATTTATGATAATCATAACACTTATTTACTCCATAATGAAAACAAGCATTGTAACCACCATTACGCATGGGTATTTGCTGAAAAGCCACTTACTTTTACAACTAATAATGCCATCTATTACTTTAAACACAAGGGATCTGAACTAATTTAAGTCGACAATCCACTGTTCAAAAAATAAGTACATACAGCTCTTAACCAAAGTTTCAAAAAATAGAATTCGTAAGACTAATCATCACTAGTTCACACTACACTTGTGGAGAATATCTTCTTTGAAAATCCCATGCGGAGGTCGAAATACAAAAGTATCCACGTGACCCACTAGGTAGGTCCTTTTTTCCATAAAATTTGTAGTGATATCTTGTGCTTGTGATTTGACTGTACGCCATCGTGACGATTCTGATTTGACATAACTTGGTAAAGAGCAAATCCAACAATAGCAGCCACCCTGACCAACCTTACCATGAATAAATAATCGGAGTTAAGGAACTACAAATGTCGCAAAACTGTTAAGATGATGCATTCTGAGATTGATGTATATTGGTGATCCTGTTTTTAATGTAAGGCATACCAATTTACTACTCACTAGTTGTAATTGTAACTATAATTAATGAATTAATGAAGTTACATAAGCGTCGGATTCTGGTTAGCAACTTTTATTTCTGGATTTTAAATTAGTCGCAGTGTCTCTAACTCTACCCTGGGGGTCTTTGGCCACTCTTCGATAACGGTTAGAAGTGAAAATGTCCAACAGTGTTTGTCATGGCACTCTTGGTTATTATATTCACCTTTTTCTGTCTCAAAGGACCCACCATGTGAATAGGCACAGTAAAAGGTTTTGAATACATGTGTAGGCAACTTACACCCAAGTATACCCTGTGGAATGTGTATATATGATAGCTGGATTCTGGAAGAGGACGAATGCAGACGGTTTTATGCATCACTACCAAGTTCGGACTCATTCGCATCCATCAAAGTTATGGGTAATCTAATCTCACATTAAAACTGCGAAAGCTCGGAGTGAAAAATTTGACCAAAACCACTTAATTTTCTCAAAACATTTCATTTGAGGATGCATTAAGACAGGTTAGAGCTGCACCCACTCGGTTTCAGAACTGACCACACACTAATTCTCCAGAAAAGAAAATGACAGCGAAGTGCTTCAGAAACCTCAATCTCATCAAGGACCTCATGTTTCCACAACAGGCGCCTTCAAGTGCATGCTTGATATTTGAGATAAGTAATTCTCTGGTATACGATGCATTTGTCATTTAAGCGCAAAATAAACAAACACCCTAATTTTTCACGTCGTTGACAAATTTATATTAGTCGTGCGAACGCTCACTGGTTAAAAATGTCAACTGAATTAAGTCACTCTGCGAGTTCCAACCACTGATGTTTGAGATCATGTGAGTAAATCAAATCTACTCGCTTACTGAAGGTCAACTGAGGCCGTTTAACGTCACATGACTTCTATAGTTTTTCAGAGTGAACAAACAATTGATCAAAACAAGAATCTACTACAGAAAGGATCACTGCATACTATAAGCGGGCAAAATTAGACTTTAAGAACGAAAATGTGGTAGCGAATGTATGACTCTGAACGCACCAAATTACACGATAACGCGACTCTTATGTAGAAGACATATATGTATGAAAACAATGAATAAAAGGGCATGCAGGTGGTACAATTTTAAAAATATATTCAGGAAAAGCAAATGATGCATCAAGAAAAGTCAGTTACTTTTAACAACCACCGATGGTGTCGTTTAGCTACTTCATGTGCACAGATTGCTCTTGGAGGCCATACTGTACTATTCACTCTTATTCTGTCCTGCACTCATCCCCTTAGTATATTCTTGTGGATTCCAGTGAATGAATTGATGCATGCTTTTGAATATTTGTCTCAGTCCTACCTCCACGTTGACTCACGACTGACAGTTTGGCAACATTCCTGTAAAATGTTCTTTTTCAACTGAAAAATGAACTATAGCTCTGTTCCAGGTCATCAGAAAGGTTGTAAATTCATTTGGCTTATACGTATTCCCACGGGCATAGTTTGCCTTCAAAATCAAGGTGGAACTAGCTTGGTGAGATTGTAGCGGTAAATGGCTCCCCAAAATCACTAGAATTGGGTGCTGAGCTTCACTGTTTAAGTCGACTGGTTTAGCTGAAGCTCTTAGGCGAGCATCCACGACAGTTGGTATGGTATCGCATCCCATTCTTTTGTTCGTGCATCATCCCCGACTATTTAAACCATCATCCTAGCATTAAGATTTTGGTCCCGTAATATACTCCATATTTTGGACAGTCAACCCGGTGTTTTGATTTGCCTTTGGCCTCCGCAAGACAAATACTATAGAAGTTACAGATTCAGGCAACAAGGTTCTCGTTGCCTTTGTTGATCCTTGCAATATGTATCTCTGCAGAGACCTAATTTTCATACGAAAGCATTCCCCCATGGAGCTGTTACTACTGACTCAGGTAAGGAGTACCAGTCGTCCACCACTCCATGAAAGAATCTAAGGTCCACATTCACCTAATTGTTCCTCGGTTTGACCACCTTTCTATGGGAACCTCGTAGGTGTATTTTAGAGGGAGATAAAAGGTTCGAAAGGTCATTCACTAAATTACCTTTTTATTTATGGTATGCTAAGATTAAGTCGCCTCCCTTTTTTCGGTATGATAATGGGGAGGGATTCAAATGCTCCATCCTCTCTTAAAAAGGAAGGTGTGAGATACTACTAACTAATTTGGTTCCTATCCTCCGTACTCTTTCCGGGATATGTGCCTTATTCTTGAGGCATGAACTCAACACTCGTATGCAGTTTCGTAGATGACATATGTTGCATAGATTACTTGGAACTTCGACTCTTCTAACTGTTTTAAAGTCCTTCAAAGTGCCCATAGCATTCGAAAAGCCTTAGCTGAGGCTACATCCAAATTTGCAGTTGTGTTCAGATCATGGTTGCCAGTAATTCCTGATTTCTTTCCCCCGTTACCATCTGGCAGTTCTGTGTCTCCCAGGCAGTACGATGTGTAAGACCTCTGACCTAAGTGCATTACTGTACTTTCCTTGGAATTGATTTCCAGACTCCAGAGATTCGACCATTTAGTTAATTTATGCAGCCCACTTTGTAAGACCGGCTCATCAACGTTTTTACTGACATTTTTCTAGGTCCCGATGTTATCAACAGATAATGGTAAAGATGAGGCGGGAATTCTTGGTTGTTAATTCACGTATAATAAGAATAGCAAGGGGCCTAGTTCAGTTACCTCAGGTACTCCAATCAGTGCTGCTTCCAACCCTGACATTACAATATTAACCCTTACACCTCGCCTTCTGTCCATTAAGTAGTCCCTAGACAACTCACGTAGGTGTCGGTCTGGTCCAAAATTTCTTATTTTGATGAGGAGACCTAGGTGGGATACCTTATCTGATGCGTTACTAAGACAGAAAAAACAACTTCCAAAAGAAGTTCTTATCTCTGGTTTCGACCCAATCTTCCCTAGCTAGCAGTAGTCTCGTAAGGCAGGATCGTCCTGGTTGGTTACTGCGCTGTTCCACCGCCAGTAAGCTATGTTTCTCTGCATGAGCTAAGAGTTGTTCCCATATGGTCTTTTCTGGTACCTTTGCGGTAATACAGTTCACACTTACAGGCCGGCATCCAGACACAAACTACCTGTTCTCCTTTTTGATGATGGGGATTACAACTGCATCCTTCCACTCCCTGGGTAGCCTAGACAGGGTCAGTGAAATTTGTAAAATCTTCGTAATTGGAATATATTTTTGCACTTTAGGATGTAGTTCGTCAGGCCCGGTTGATTTACCTGGCTTCAGTTTGGACAGTGGTTTTAGAACCACTGAGACCTCTACCACAGTTGAAGGCATTATATTGGTGATAGCAGTGACCTTTCTATACCCCTGGGTGGTATGGTTAGACAAAAAGACATCACAAAAGTATTCCGAGAGGTTTTCAGCTTTTGTTTTGTCTGACTAGGCTGCCTCTCCAGTGCTGCTTATGAGTGATGGTATACAATCGCTATTTCTACTTCTACGTTTAATATGCGACTACAGTCTTTTTGGATAATGTACACAATCCAGCACTGACTGTCTCTCATACTCTGTGCGACTTTTATCAATCATGAATTTACAAAGGTTTCGAATCCTGCGGTACTCCACCCGAAATTTCCCTTCTCTGTCACAGTAAACCCGTCCCATAAATTCTTTCGCTTTCTTAATGACCGCCTTATTTCACTACTAATCCAAGGTGGTTTATGTGATGGTTTTTGAGGCGTAGACCAGTGGTGTAATCTAGTGTAATCCTAAATCGTACACAAGCTTTTACGACAGTCAAATTTGTTTTAACTGATCAGTCAAATAGGGTTGATGCATTTCTGTTTTCAGCTTTCCAAATTTTGGACAAGCAGATGTTGACTTATGTACGGGAGCGCGAATCCTCAACGTAAAAGTGATAACTGCATGGTCACTGCTGCCTATAGCGCAAAGCACCTATTCCCATCGACATCCTCCTTCTGGTGTGATGGCATTAAGTCTAGAGTAGATGGACCATGTTCATTGTGTTACCGTGTTGGTGCATTTATATGCTGCACAAAAAGGCATTCAAACACTGCCAGTATGAGTTGCCTGTTAAAACGAGTGTAAAAGATAGATGATGTTAATTCCTCTTAACATTTGGGGCATTAAAGTCACCTACTATCAGACACCTATTTCTATTACTCCACACCCCGAGTTGACTTAGCACAAAATCATCAGCTTGGCTGACTGCACTTCCATAAATAACAACAATCGTTGCACTGCCCTTGTTCAAGTCAATGACAGCTTGCGGTTTAACTAATGTTGCTGTAGTACGCTCCTGACGTTAACCTGATTCTTATGTCACCCTTGATATATAGGGCGACCACACCACCTTTCTGACTAATTACTCTGTCTACCCCAATGCAGATGTGTCCAGGTATGAGTGGAGTTAAGTCTACACCCACTGACAACCATGTTTTAGTGATGGCGATCATACCAGGTTGTAGTCCTTCAGTAGATACTCCTAATTCACAGGGCCCATTTTTAAGACTACACGCGTTTTCTTTTTCCGCACACTGAAACGCCTACGTGCTCACTCAACTTGTGAACAAAGGTCTGGAAAGATGGGCTTTTAGACTTCACTATCCGAAAACCCAACAGTTTAAGGTCTTTTTTCCCTTTTTCTAGTAAGGCCCTTAATTGAGCCGCGGTTTCTCTTCTTTTAATACTGTCTTCCAACGCCCAATCAGGCCTTGTTGGGTATAAGAATTCGCGTTAGTAGACATCTTATTTTGTGTAAATGTCAAAGTTCCCTCATTCCTTAAAAGATTAACACATCGTCGCTCAACACGCGTTTACCTCACCTGCGAGCCTCACAAAATAACCTGTACCATTTAACCTTACTACTCGTCTAAAGCTGAAAAGCTACTAGAAATCTATTTACCTAATTTCTGCTAGAGTTTTCTTAGGGGAATAAAGGGCCAATGTAGTAGGAGAGGCATGATGTTTGGAGAATTTCAGTAGCACAAAAAGGCACCGCGTCCAATACATTCTCAAGTCACGAAATGGCAATCTAGTTACCTTGAGTAAATATCTGAGAACGACAAATCGGAGCTTAGATATGTATACGGCACAGCAATCTGAAATTCTTGATCAGATTGATTATACGTTTTGTGTACGTCTAGCTGGAGCCTTCCAGAATACGATTACTTCCCAAAGTGCACTAAATCGGGCCAATTAAAAGCGCATCTATCTCATCGCCAGGTGCTTAATGTGTCTCGGGCCTTAGTTTAACGAGTTCGTATCTGAGGGTGCCTTTAAGCCGCCCAGATTTTTCACACTGGCCGTTAACACGAATATTTGTTGGTACCCATAGCTTAACGTCATTTTCTACATAAATTCAAAGCCATCTAGCTGAAATAACTCCACTGTTTTTTCTACTTAAATATATTGCCTTTTTTATAAGTTCCTAAATAGCTAAGGCCTTTAGCTGCGTGCTCCAACTTAAGCACTAATGAGTTGGGCTCTAGAAGACGAAATAGTTAGGCTGCTTGAATGATTTTGAATTCCCTTTCAGTCTGTCTGTCGCGGCTAACATTCCCCACGAAACGACCACCATATCAACTTACCATATGCGGAACTTTCAAATTATCTGCTTCTTCTACATGCATACTGCAGCAGACCTGGAGAACACACGCAAAAATGAATCAGTATCTGAAGTGTCCGCCATTTTAATATGAATTCCATTGTGGATAGGCAGGCCAACATGCAACTGGTTGTGAAACCTAGCACTATGCATCAGTCCAAGTATTTGCACCTTGGCTTTCTTAATATTTTCCGGTGGTAGTCTATAGACAGTTAGACGTTTTTCTCCCATTCACGTTTTAAAACTGACCATGAAATATTGACGCAA